AATTCAAGCCCCAGCCAAGGCACGTAGATTCAGTCGATCTAGCTGGACAGGCCGGCTTTAGAGTACTGTACCTCTTCAGCATTGTACAGGTTTGCTACTGCAAACATTCGATGCCTCCAGCGCAGTACAGTGCGCTTTCGTGGCGTGAACGTTTGAAACCACGTAGGTGGGGCTGGTATCACGACAGTCGGTGGGGATTTTACTTACACAGTAGAACGAAGTTTTGCTTGGAAGATTCACGCAGTTGCAGGCTTGCTTGCAGTATGTGGTGGGCCTCTGCGGATTTAACAGTTTTCACCATGCCCACGCATAGATGTTATACGGTTTACAGTAGGTGATGCTACTGTAGTGCGAACGGCATCACAAGTTAGCGACTCCCACGTGGTTAATTCTATGAAACAGGACATGAGCTGTTCATGTAAGGTGTTCGGAAGAATCGCTCTAAGGGACCGTAAGAAAGCCCGGAGAAGACGCTTTATATTGTTAACCACTGGTACGAACGGTCAACGACCAACGGAAAGAACTGGTGAGTAGACTCAATTTTTCTCAATACGAACGGGAGGCAAGGGCTAGTCTCTCGTTCGGTTTCATCCTTGTAAACTTTGTTTAAGGTGTGTTCCTATTTATTTTTCTTCCATTTGTCCAACTTGTTACTTAATTGCGCTTTCACAAATCCTACGATGTTAGAATCTGTAATTACTTTCTCTCATGAACTGTACCTTAATTAAAAGGATTTTTTACACACTGCTTTTAGTCGTATGTAGTAGGCGAGTTGTAATTATCCCACGGAGATGATTATTGAGTTTGAATGTAAACTTAAAACACTCAATCTAACAATCAAGAGTTCACGCCCACCCGGGAAAGCTCAAACTTGAATTTATTCAGTCGTCAAAAAAATAATTTCACATAGTGCAGAAGCTGTGGTATTTAATTAAACCCCTAAACCTTCCTAACTATAAATAGGTAAGACCATTAACCTCAACATTCACATCATATCCCACCTTTTAGCTACATGGATGGGAATTCCATCAAATGTTTCGTTAAGTAAGGAAGAGGTATGTAAAGGTATTCTAGATCTCAAGAGCATCAAATAACTATTACATAATTCTCATGTTAGGTGTAATAATGAGAATTACCTTAATTATGCAACTAATATATCTAGAATTGCATTACTACACTATTCGAAGAATCATCGTTATATGTGGTTGATATCCAATGATAAGTAATGAACCAATGATTATACACAGCTTCCAAATTACACTACACAACATTGTCATTATTCATGTTGATTAATATAGTTTAGAATATACCACAGGTGATTCTACTGAAAATAGGTTAATGTCATAGTCATACTTGTATATGATGGTAATGCTACATTATCCAATATGTGAAATGAGTACATATCCTTATTATAATTCTAGATCATGACTCCTAGAATTTTTTATATTTTGTTCATAAATAATTTAGTATTTTATCACATTGAGTTAGTCTCACATGTGAGATATGTATCTTACTGAAAACTCTCCAACTCGTAAAATTTTCCAAAACGTAGCATTTGATTAACATAAAGTAACCATAAAATATGTGTATCTCTGCTCTCGATCCCTTTACAATGAGAGTTTTAACGATGTCTGACATCTTAATTCTCATTATATGAAAGAGAACGTCATGATCAGGTTCATACATAGCAAACATCACATCCTAAATGATATTAGTAATATATTTTTTATTACATATTGATATTTGTTTCATAACGTTTATTGCATCAGAGACATTCCAACTCTAAGGTAGAGGTTGACTAATAAAAAAATTAAATATATGCCTCATAACTAATTCTTTCATCTAGAAAAATTTCGGTTTAGAACTTTAAAAGTCCATTACTTGAAAAAAATTCCATAAATTATATGTAAAAATTCAAATATGCAAACAATATAGCATGATAAATAAACAGAGAGATTCTAATCAACATGATAGCTAATTTGATAAGTACTTAAGTATAAGTGAACGTGCTAGTCCATTTCTCAGTTGAATACAAAACAAGTTAATGAACACAATAGATAACTTTTTCCCTATAAAAGTGTGCCCCATGAAAAATTTAAAGAGCTTTATTATATTTTCATATATTATAAAAAATTCAAGATTTTTGAAATTTCTTTTACTTGTATCTCCTGTATATATATATAATTGATTATAGAAAATGTAAATCCTTCATAAAAATAATGTTGAATTTCACCATTGAAATTTTTATTGGAGTTATAACTCTACACGTAAATGAAATTAATCCATATTATTTAAAGGAAAAAACTAAATTTTTCATTTAGCAATAATTTGCATGATTATTTATTTTCAGAAAAATTCCTGACACATTATTACTATTAAATTTAAAATGCATATCGTCTCATTTAAAATTTAAAAAATTTATGGTTTAATTTTAATGTATGATGATAATTCTATCAAATATTGCAATCTTGTAATTGTGATGATGGACAAATATTTTAAGTTATATTTTTAATTAAATTTACATTCAACAGAAATTTTCTACAAAAAATATATAGTCAAAGATTCGAGTTTAAAAGTATATTTTTTACAATAGGTCTTGAATTTAAAATTAAATTAAATCTTAATATCTTAATTGACTATTCCATTGCATTTGATATTTATGTCTTTAAAATATTTTTCCAAAAAAGGAATTTTCAAAATATCAAATCTTATAATCAGAGTTTCATCATTAAGAAAAATCCTGTAACCTCTGAGAATAAATATTTTGCTACCAGATCTGATCATTTTAAATTCAAGTAAATTCATGTTTTACAATCAAACTCAAGATAATCACTTGATTATTTTGATATATAATTTTTTAAACAATTAAAAATTATAATTATAATATTAAAAAATCAAATCAAATTTTTTTGATAAAATTCTTTTGCAATAAATTTGTTATGTCCCAGAAATCAAATAATTTACAAATTTAGATTTATGAAAAGCTGTACTTAAGTCATGTTGAAAAATATTGAGTATCAAATGACGATGAACTAGATTACTTTAATGTGTAACTTATTAACTTAGTATTTTATTAACTTAAAATATATTTTTTCTCAACATAAAAATAATTACTTATGCTAAAATATCAGAATAAAAAATTTATATTGATATAATTTCTTTTTCATATGACTGAAAAATAATTGTATGCTCTGATCTTATTTCACGAATGCCGAATTTTGAATATAAAATAAAAATATAGATTTCTTTTAACCATTTCCAATTGTAAGACGTAATAGTGCATTCACTTTGTCCACCATTTGCATTCACTTTAGCCACTCATTAAAGTATAGAAAAAAATCTAATGTAATTGATAAACAAAAAAAGACAAAAGCTTTTGTTGTAACTTTGAAATTGAAATATCTACTGTCTTTGATGTAAATTTACTTGTAAAACATTTGCATTGTTGAGTGTATATTCATGAACCTAAATCCGTTTTCGTGCAATAGTATATATGATCATTCTTCAGCCGAAAATGACTACATGCATTTTAAATTTAATATCAGTCGCAAAATCTTTGTTTTTGCGGTTGATATTAACTTCCAAAAAGGTTTTTAAACCAGTATCCACAGCTCTTGCATAACTATCAAGTATATTTTTATCCAGAATCACAACTTGAAAAGATAAGAAAGGTGATAGTCTTGGCTAAGAATGTTATAAGGTTTTTTTCAATCGATAATCAAATATACGCCTCCACATGAAATATACGTGCTAAATCTCATGTTACATAAACTCGAGATAGGAAGATGTAATCAAAGAATCCCATATGTTTAATGGTATACCACTATCAGACAAACATCCAAAAGAAAGTCCAAGAATCCAAAGTTTGTATCTCTAGAACAAAGAAGATTTATAAAAATGATTAGGACGAACCTAATGCCCTCGCAGGGTTAACATGTAAAATGATCCGAAACTTTGAAGTGACTAAATGTTCAATTGTAGGGTAGATATGATTTTCCAATTTCCAAATAATCTGAATATGATAGCAAGGATAATCCAAGTTACAAATTGAGCCAAAGTCCTAATCACCTGGGGGATGCCTGCGAGGGTGTACCTCCCGATGGTAATTCTTGTAGTATCAAATCTAGGATTATGACTTCTAAAACAACTCGAGGACAGTAACTTACTCCATTAACCTTTCGGAGAAAGCATATTGCTCGCTCAAAAGCGGCTCCCATCCGTCCACGGGATCTCCCACTGAACAGCATTTTTACCACAATTGAGCCGCACATGGGCACGGTCGGCCTCAGGCCGTCACTGTGACCGCACGATCTCGAATCGGAAGGTCATTCTGAAATCGCATCATGGCACTATCTCGTGGCCAAGATCTCAAATCAGGAGAAGTCTCTGGCAGCAAAGAATGCTCCGTTTCTCAAGTAGGCCGCTTAGTATCCGTAGGTCCGTAGACCCGGATGGAAATCTACGTCACTATCGTACTAAAAGACCTCCCGGTCCCACATTTCATACATTCGATGGAATAATGAGGCGAACAGAATTGCACTATTATAGACGAAGTGCAGAGATTATTGTCTAGAGCTATTTGTGGATATAGACGATTATTAAAGAAAAAGAAAAAAGAATGAAAGGAAGTACCAAGAAGTGCAATTCGGTAGGTATGATGTCCCGAGAATTTCAGCACTATCCAGCTGAAAATTCGTGCCTCGAGGAAAAAGAGGAGTTTGACTGGACGATGGCTTACATGAGGCCTTTACCGCTCCCTTGTCCTACGGTACAAGTAGGTGCAGACTTGACGGCACGACTGTCGCGACCGATGTAACGGACGAAATCTTCATCGGCAACTGGATCGTGCCGACGGCGAGGTTCCGAGGCAGATCCACATCAACCACGTTAGGGTAGACGGGAAAGCAGGAGCGCGGACCGAGCAGATGGCGCGCTCCACCGCATTGGGAGTCCTCTCGGGCACATTGGGCCAAAGCGAATGTTGTGCGCTTTTGTCTCGGGCGGGGTTTGGATCATTTAGCGGGGCGCTGTCCCTCACCTCGTCTAGTCACAGAGACGGGGTCGGCTCCATCGTCCCCGATTGCTCGTGTGCCGATCAGCGTGTGCAATTTATCTCGCTTGTCTTCACGCGACTCGCTTTCAGAGATCAGGAGCCAGCGGCGAGCGAATTTCCCTAGTCTCGGTGCCCGGCGCCTTTCAGAGAAGCTTTCTTCGGGCCCAAGCTGGAATCCGATCGTCGGCTCGGCTCCCACGTCACGGCGTGCAAATCAAGCGGCAGTTCCTTGCTATTGGACGCAGCTTCCTTCACCTGCGCTCTGGAGACAGGCCAGCTTTGACGGGCAGAAATTGGGGCAGCGAAGGGCCGCAGGCAGGGCCGGGGAGACGGCTAGGCTGGTTTGGGTGGGGCTCGGATCTCATCCGGCGGCAGCTACTACTTGTTGTCATGCGATTGCCTGTTTAGGCTGTGTCTGTGCGCTGGATCAGCTGTGTAGGGCTCATGAGAAGCTTTTGAGGAAAGACTACTTGTCGCCCTCGGTTGCCCGGAGCCGTAGCTCGCGGAGCCCCGCGTCGGAGGAGGAAGCAAGAAGGCCGAGCGACAGGCAACATCTCGGGAACTTGTTTTTTCTGGTTCTGGTCGCCTGTTCAAGCCCGGAAGGTCTGACGCGCACAAGGCTGCACGGGCTGGTGCCGGGGGGTTTCTTGTTTACGTTGTTTTGTATTTGGTCGTTGTGCAGTTGCATCGAGAGTTGCTTCTTCTGCTGCTTCTGCTGCTGCTGCTGGCGGACGAGCCGTCCCTTATCGCCGACATGAGGAAGACAGGGTCAGCGATTGCTCCTAGACATTCGTTATCGTCGGCTTGAATTGATGTACATGAGGCCTGGACTACTTGTGTTCGTGTTCGTGACTCGAGGCATCCATCGCTTGCGTTCGTTCTCGTGGACCGATCAGTTTGTGACCATATTTCGGGTCGGTGTCGTGTCACTTGGGACAGAGCATCTCTTGTAGACGAGTTTGGTTCGTGCCTGTTTTGAACCTTCAGCGCTGAGATTTTTTGGTTCGGAGGCCACTCGATTTGTCGAAAGTTTGGCGACATGACGACCTCACTTCTCAAGAACAGAGAGTTAGATACTTTTGACAAAGGGGGATGGTTGTCGGAGGAAGAGTCGACTCAGCCTTCCTCACCTCTGAGTAGAAACGGCGACGCTTTACGAGTGATGGTGGTGGTCAAATTGAACTCCAGCAAGGATCTCACAATGGATGCTCTTGAATGGGCTTTGATCAACGTCGTTCAGCCTGGAGACAACGTTACGCTTCTTGGAGTCATTCCTGATGGTGACACTTTATGCGGGGTCAACTTGAAGGTCTTGTTGCAAGTTTGGTTGACTCGTCTCTGTAAGTTTCCTTGCCCACTGTGCCTCTCGTGCTGATATGCAGGAACTAAACTTGTTGCCAAATATGGTTGATGTTGCCAAGTATATGGTGAAATTAGATGTCGTCAAAGGAACTCAGCAGGGGCGTTTGGTTTTCTGAAACAAACGCTATTCTCTGTATCTTGATAGCATTCAAAGGCACGAATAGTGCATGGACTCTTTTGGAAAATCCATTCAGGAGCATCCATTGAGTCCATTTAATGCATTCCAATCTCAGGATTGGTCCCCAGTGATATCCAGTATGATGACACGACGGCTGCCCATGCTTTCCTGAGTTCTCACCCTCATTATGTTTGAAATTCAAAGAGGGAATTGTTGAAGTATGGTAGATTTCATGAAAACTTTCCCCAGAAACTTGCGCTTTCTCAATCCGTGCACTTTAGCGCAGTTTCCTCTTCGCCTCAACCAGGCTGATCTTCCTCATCCGCGGTAGATCTCTTTCTCTGAGGCAATTAGATATTCTGATAACAGTATGTTGCTTACGTGCCCTTTACGAATGGTTGAATTAGTAGTGTGCTATAAGGATATGGTCGAGATTGTGATTTTAGATCTTATGCACTGGAAATCAATGTGCTGTTAGTTAAAGTAGTTTATCACTGTCAATCACCTTCTGTAATTTTGATTTCTTTTCTTGCTTTTCTCTGACTGTACTTGTGTCTGAATCTTGCGGTATTACTTCATTCACTCGGTTATATCGGATTGGATAGTCCGCCCCATTTAAAATAAATGAGGTCTTGTTAATGTACACTTTAGGGAGAAGACAGGAATAACTGAGCAGTACGTTTGCATGCGACTTTTCTCTGATTTCGTTTTGTTTGCACTTGCAGCCACATGTTGGCAGGGTGATGAAGAGTATCAAGAGCATCATCAGCTCCTAGAGGACGAAATCACGAGAAAAAAGGCCATGTTCCAGAGCTTGAACGTGCTTCAACATTTCTACAGAATATGCGAGAAAAAAGGAGTAAGATGACTATAACAAGAGCCTGAAGCAGTGGGGTCACTTATGAGTGACGCCGTTGAGCTCCACTTTCTTGGTTCTAAGAACTTTTTGCTCGTAAGCTCGTTATGGAGGTCTGGAGTCTGGTTCAATCGGAAGTCTGAGAGGCCAGCAGAATGATTAGTTTCCTTTGACTTCATTCTCACATGTGCATGGACTGGTCATGTCAGGTTAATCTTGACGTCAAAATAGCAGCAGGAGCGACCAAGCATGTCGTAACACAGCAAGCGGAGTCTTTGCAAGCGACTTGGGTCGTCCTTGACAAGTAAGTTTACAGTAGTTTCGTCAGTTTCTGTAGGTTGTAAGATGCTCTGGGTGACGTCGCTTGGTAGTTACTGGAATCCTACATCCACCGAATTGGTCTATCGTAGACCTAATATCTTACAGAACGTTGGTAGTTCGGTTGGTGGGTGAGTCTCAACTCTTTGACAAGAATTTTTGATAAGAGTAGTTGCTCTTGAGTCCCGGTTTAATAGTCTGTTTGCATTCAGATAAGTATGCGACTTCTGGATTTTAGTCGTCTAAGTTGGAGTAGGTCAAGCCAAAATCGTGTGATTTGCAGAGATTAGCTTTGAAGTTTTTAGATCGTTGGCAAAGGCATGTCCTATGAACATAGGCTGAAATAAGCAAGGTAATTCTAAGAAATTTTGTCTTTGCTGATCGAATCATTCATCAAATTCTACCTGCAGGGCTTTCCGGAGAAATCGTGGTTACTTCGAACATCACCTGCTCTGTAATATGGTGTTGATGAAGCGGAGCAACGTTGGTGACATCGTTCGTGTGTATTATCATTACTGATCTTGCAAAGGAAAAAGGAGCGAAATCAAATCGAATTTTTTTCTACACAGGCCTTTTGGTGTTTTCGGCCCTGCCACCACAGTATTTGTCTATAATTTTTCGGGTCAACGGAGAACAGCAGTCTACGAAACACGATTCATTTTTACGAGGCACATGGTTAGTTCGTAGACCACCTCTTCGGTCTTGAAACCATCGAAATAGGTCCTGGGTTTTTTAGCAGTAGGTTAGTGACAGAGACTGATGGAGCTTTTTGTGGAGTAGATTATAGTATCGAAGTTCCGTCAGCTGAACGTCTAAAGGCTGGAGAGCTGCGCAGCTTTGAAGTGATTGTGGTGATTAGATTTCACTGGGTCTCGAGGTTTAGATTGTAACTGTAGTAGCTAGTTGTCTAGACTCTCGAAGAAAACTGCAGATTTAGAGATAGGTGATACACCTGTCAACGACTCAGCAAGACGACTATCAACGATAGAGTTCCGCATTTGTTTGACAAGAACTGGGCGCAATATGACGAGGGTTATATTGAACTATCAGAATCATGCGTTGACTGGTCCCTGTTCGTAACGGTGCAGTCACCTGTTCGAATGACGTCGGTGATGAACATCATGTGCAACCACTGGTAAGTTTCCGCTGCGTCGAGTGTGAAGAAGGTACGGTTAGAAGTTTAATGGTTGCGTCAATAGTTAGTACAGTACTGAATCGGATGGGGCTCTGGAAAATGAACAGGATCCCTTGATGTGATAACAGGTTTTTTCATCTAGAGGTCTTTTGTGTAAGGCGGACTGGGGACTTAGGGTAGAGCTACTGGACACTACTGATAGAGATCATCTTGCAGATGGCGATGATTATTTGTTATGGTGGCTATTTGAGACCATGACATCCCAGTGGTTCCAAATTGTGCAGTCCATTACCTACAGCATTGGTCTTTCTCTTGTACATTACTTCAGTCCCTATAATACGCGAATATCATTCTCGTAATGCTTAGCAGCAGCTTCTGTTCATGTGTATTAACTTACGTGTAGTCACGGTCACAACTGTGTCGAGTTGTGTACTTTACACGATTGGTCATACCGCTGTACCACATGAATGGTTGCGCTAGTAACTTCAGAAAGAGAGAAGCGATTCTAAGTCGACCATGCTAAGAATTTACAGCTGGTATCTTGAGATAGAGTCGCTCTACAATTTTCTTTAGTTTAACTTCTCACTTCAGGAACAAGATTTACCGAATATTTACCCAAAGATGGACCTAAAAGCACTACTGTTTAATCGGCTTCGATTGACAAAGCGTGTCGATTTTGTCTAGCTTGATGAGATCATGGAATTGTCAAGCTGAAATCAGTATATGGGATCGAAGTACATGAGACCAGTGGAAAGAATGAATTGTGTTCACGTGTCTTTAACCCGAAAAGTCATACCTACATTCATATATATCCAAGCTAGAGGATGGGTGTCGCAGACATGTACAGAATTCAAATGCGCACACTGGGTCATGGGTCTGCAGGAAATTTAGTCGCGAAGTACACTTCGCAAGAGACAATCACATCATTGCGAAGTTTTCGTTTCGCTCGTATAGAATACAGTTCTACACTTGGTCACATCGATGCGACTAACTTGGAACCATATCGTGACCGCCAAACAATAAGTATTCACGTAGCTACGCTACATTTAACCCGAAACCTTGAAAATCTCCGCGATTCCGTAAAGGCCAAAGGGGGTATATATCTTAACAATCGAAGCACGTATCCATGAAAGGAGATCGTCAACTGTGTAAATGTAATCAGATTTTCAAGATGTACCGGGTCCAGGTTTAACTCTTGATTCTGTGAAGTGTAACACTATGAAGGCTATGGAACCTGAGCGATAGCGCGGGAAAGACATGTATTGCATTGAGTAGAAAACATTTTGCGACACCGAAGATAACGTAGCGCCTGATCGTTCTGGCAGTTTGTATACGCATCCAAACAGAACTTACTATCTTTCCTAAATATAAATACGAGCCATTACGCTAAGCCTCACAGGCTCAGGTGGTGTTAAATCGATATTTACAAAAGAAAAAGGAAAGAAGAAGAATATTGTAGACGTGGAACAAGCTTGCATTTTACTTCTTGCTTATGGTTATGTGTATATAGTCTTCAACATTTTCGTATTATAGAAAAGTGGCGGGGATGCACGACCTAGGTAGTCCAACTTTGATGTAAGATTATGGACGAATGACTGACTACGTACAGATGTAACAACCTAGAAGGAAGGGTAATAGTGATGAGGTGTGAGGATGCTCAAGATAGAAGATAACGTGGGAGATATTTGATTTATTTTGTGCATAGATAAAATGTTCATCACAAATCCTGCAGCGTCAGAAACTGGAGCCCAGTCGTTGATCAAGAAATAGCAATCATTGCCTGCGTTGTGAGTGTTTGATGCCCGAAGAGAAGCGCGGATCTCTGATATGTTGCAGTCCTCTTGCATGAGAAGATAATGCTCAGCATACAAACCCTGGACTCCAGTCTCGCTGTCCCAGAACACTCTTTTTTAAACGGGATTCTATGAAGTCAAAGCAAACAATCAGTCTGCAATTGGAAGTAATACTCGGGAGTTCAGGTATAGTATTTAACTCTTTGATTGGAATGCAGCGTACATAAATTGGCTGTTTGTCCAAGCTATCTACAACAGATCGAATGGAAGAGATGGTGATTACCAGAACTTTTGCTACCCGTGTCTATGGAAGAAAGAGAAGTATATCAGTGGTATATTATTATGTATAATTTCATATCGTTATTTGTAGCTTGATTGGATTGGATCTGAGATAGTTACATAACCTACTATTGCTATAAATGCAGCCGATATGCACTCGAATTATAATAGGCGTCTTTCTTGTTTTTTGGAAAATTGTTGAAATCAATAAAATATTTTAACCACATTGACTAGAAGTTGCCTCGTTTCTCTTTGTGGACCCTAATACATATAAAAAAACTAATAGTTCTATTTAGAATGTTAAATTATTACTTGTTGGCAAAGGTAAATTTGAATGCCTAAGTATTACTTATTCCACCGCCAGACTTGATTGATTGCAAGTATTAACGCTTTCTTCAAAGCTTAATTTGAAATCTTATAAAACTTGCTCCATTCCCATTTATGCCATATGCTTAAGAATTTATTGTGGTGAGCGAAATAAAATAATATAGGGAAAACCTCCTATATATCTTAAAACTAATTCCAACTTAATCGCGATAGATTAGATCACTCAACAAAAATCTCGGTTACGCTTATTTAAGCTTGGCATCAAACACATTCAAATTTTATCTTATTGTAAACCTAAAAAGCTACTTTTAGTGCTTCTTTCCTCCTCGTTTTCCCCAGTTCATCGAACTACTAAGCATGTGAAATATAGTTATTGATGATTTTTTCTTTACTTGACTCTCGTCAATCACTTCGTCTTTACCTTACGAACTGTGGTAAGGTGATCGAGATCCTCTTGACTGTAAGTAAGTTTGATACTTCATAAAAGTGTCATCTAATCTTCCATGATTGTAACATTGTCTGATTTCTAATTTCCTTTTTTAGTTCTCGACTTTCTTGACGTGACGCCATAAAATATGGATAGTAGAGTTGCAAAAATTATATCCCAAGGCGTTGATTTCTCTTGGAAAAAGATCAGATATCCTTAGATGGCCTAACTTCATAGACAATGATCGAAAGAGTATTGAGATGTAGAAGAAAATTTCTCTCCATCCCTTGATAGAGCCAGATATGCCAAGGAAAGAAGCCGGATCCTGTGGGTTCTGAGTTGAAATGTCTACGTGCATGGTTGCTCAAAACCAGCAGAAACCGCTGCAAGTACAGCGAGAGTGACGTGAGGGTCTGAGGAGAGAGAGTAAACGTCTCGTGGTTGTGGCTCGGTAATCCCCGATCTCAGATTTGTGAGAGAATTGGGAGGAATATTTGTCAGTTTCGGTCAAACTCATCGCAAGAAGTTAGAATTAAGTTGTTGTTGAAGGAATTTGCATGAGGAGCGGTGGTGCATAATGTGCGCATAGGTCTCATAGTTTCCTTAGATTACAGAGCATCCCTCGCCCCACATTTTTCTTCCTTGAGCTTTGCGCTCGGGCCCTTCGGACGTGGTTGGAGCGTCGTCCTTCGTGGCGAAATGACGGGTATTGACGATGACAGAGCCCTTTTCTATGTGGTGAGTTTATTTTTCTTTCTCGAGAAACAAATAGAACAATACGCCGTGAGCTAAATAAGCCTCCGAGAGAAGTTTATTCTTGGTTGTAGCAAAAGATGCTCGTACACCAGCCGAGTGTTCAGCCCAGAGCGAACTATTCTTTCGCCTTTTACTAAAGAATACTGTGTGCGGGATGCTAAATCGGGTTGACTGAATTTTTGGAAAGCTCTCTCAATGGAGCACCACCATCGTAACCGAAATGAGCAGGTGAAGTGAAATGGAATGCCGTGCACACAAAGCACACCAGTTATTAGAGAGAATAGGGAATATCTGCATCAAGCATAGTATCCCATCGAAGGTAGGGCATTTTTCTGGTGCGGAATATCATCAGTTTAAGTATATACCTCAAGACCTGTCCCACTCCTCCGAAGGGACATCCTTCGATCCCCACCTGCATTCGACCTAATGCATTTCCTCTGTTCTTTGCCAACGACCTGATCAACAGTTTCCATCTTTGGCGTCTTGGCCTTTGGGCTGCATCGTCTTTTGATAGGAACATACATGTCAGCTCTGCTCCTTCCCAGTGACAGGAAATTCAGCCTTGAAAGTTCGATCCAACGGCGTCCCCTTTTCCTGGTCTCTTGTTTCCTCGTTATATCCAAGTCTCCTGCAACAATGCAGAATGTTGTTAGAACAACAACAATGAATTACTTTACTCAGGATGGCGAGATAATGATGATAGGGAGATAGCTAGGTGGAGATATATTTGGGAACTAGTTCAGGTCTTTTAGTTCTTGCATAGATCTAAGCCCCATAGCATGTCTGTGCTTTTTAAACTTGGGGCGAGGCAGCGGTTTACCGAGAAATCGGCAGGGTTATTGATCGTATGAATATAATCAAGTGCTATTTCCCCTTCTAAAATATGTCCTCTAATAAATTGATGTTTTAACACAATTTGTTTGGTTTTAGCATGAAAAATTGAATTCCGAGCAAGTTTGACTGCATACTGATTAACGCCGGATAGATGGATGTCAGTCTTGATGAACTTGGCAGAACGTTGAGCTCCTGAAACAAACATTTCCACTGATCTAATCTCAAGAGTTCATGCTCCACAACAACCGAGTAGTTGAGGAGGAACCTAATTACACCCGATTTACCATATCTCGCTCTAGTAGTCACAACAGCTCGAAGAACTACTCTTCTTTCAAGCCGTTTTCGCAGTTCATTGGTGAGCTCTATCGCGTACAACCGCCAACCTACCTCGACTTGGTTGCCCCCATGCAATTTCAACATTAGATCAGTGGACATGTTTGTCTTAACCGCATTTTCTTAGATGATAATTGGGACTGTATATATTAGGTTAGTAATTAGGACTATTGATGTAATTATGCAAAGTGTTTACTTAAGCGCCTTGCCACCCTATGTATGGTAATCCATTCTTGTTATTCTAAAAACATGGTATTAGATTTGTGTTTATGATTCCTCTGGCATGCATGTTTCTCAGCAGATACTTGAATTCTCACATTCGTTTGGCATTAGCAGTTGTCAATGCACTTCTATTGTCTCTCCACACCATTCAGTCATTGCCTCTGTCATGGACCGAATTCCTCACTTTTTAGACGAGGAGAAGCTGATCCGGCGCGATACCTACCTCAACTGGTCCACGGGCCTTAAGACAACTTGACACCAAAGATGCATGGAATGAAATCACCTTCAATCCCACATCGCTTTTTGGTCTTCTGCCCGAACCTTGATGTGATACCGGGCCTTAAGACAACTTGACACCAAAGATGCATGGAATGAAATCACCTTCAATCCCACATCGCTTTTTGGTCTTCTGCCCGAACCTTGATGTGATACCATGCTGTTAAGATAACAAGAATTATTTACTTTACGCAATGAAAGTATTAAATAATTACATTGGATAATTAATCAATGGTTCCAATTACTAAACTAATATGTAAAATCCCGATTATCACATAAGAAACTTCACTTAAGAAAAACATGTACACTAATCTAATGACGACAAGCCCTAGTTCCCTGGGACGGACTCATAAGGTATTCCAACACAGAAGTGTCCCCACCCTTCTTTCGAGAAATTGCAGCTCCACAATTTGGTCTCACGCATCTGCTGCTGCCGCCCCAGCGCAGGCACTCCCCGACCGTCATACACCATGTTCGTCCCAATCCTCTTCTCCGCCAATTCTCCTCTCGGTGAGCACCGCCCCTTCAGAATTCGGATTTTCACTCGCTTCACTACCAAGATCGCACAACGCACTTGCCGCCTGAACTTCAGAGCCAGGGCAATGCCCCGACGCTTTTTGGCAACAAGCGATCGTCTCTTTCAGTTGGGCCGCGTACCTTTGGGCCCACCTCCGTGTCTGGACTTCCGAACACCCCGCCGCGCTACACACGCTCGCAACTGCTCTTGTGCGCTATGCTCCTTTCTCTCCTCTACCCACATGATCGAACTCTCTACTTGGTTTCCGCCGATCTCTGATTGTCAGCTGGCCTCGGTACATGTATTCGCCTCACGCACTGCAACGTCAGGTCGCAAACGGTGATGACTCGTCACCGTTTGCGACCTGGAAAAAAATAGATACACTCGCCCGAACAAGGGGTCGAGAGAAACTTATTTAGATAGTAAATTTTTCATGTTTTAATTTTGTGAGAAGTTTTGGTTAAATTTGATAGAATAAATTTCGTTCAGAATTATTTTTTTATAAAATCTTGCTAAAATTGAATGAATATTATGTAAGGTTTAATTAAAATCGATAGAATATTAATGTTGGATCTTTTTTAAATTGATTCCTAATGGTGACTAATTTCATTACGAATATGTGCATATTATACTTAGATTAGGCACAAATAGGCCTAAACTACAAAGGCCCGGTGATCCATTGGAGTTATTCAAGGTTGTACTCTCTCTCCTACTCTATTCGGAATATTCATAGATGATATAGAAAGATGGTTGGATGATTGTGAGAGTGAAGGAGTCAAACTTGGAGACTTTGTGATCAAAGCTCTTTTGTATGCAGATGATATCATATTACTAGTACGTGATGCAATTAGTTTACAAAAACACCTTGATACTTTGGCTAGCTTTTGTACTCGAAATCAGATGTAGTTCAATCTGGAAAAATCAAAGATCATTCTTGTGGCCACTAGATCCAAGTTCTCTCTCTTTTACAAGATACTAGAATTGGAACAAGTGAAGAGTTACAAATATTTAGGCATTGATTTTTCTCAGATTTATAGTTGGGCACTTTGTGTGCAAAAGAGAGTAGAAGCTGGTTACAAAGTTCTATATTCATTGTTAAATCGATGTAGAAGAGCTCATCTAGTATCTTGGAGTCTTAGGAAATTTTTATTTAGGAGTTTAGTGTTGCCGGTGGTTTTATATGGGACACAAGTGTGGGATACTGGCAATAAGAAGACAAGTTGGGAGCGTGTGGAGAGGGTGCAAAAGATCTTCTTACAAGAAGAGTTAGGTGTAAAGAACCAAACTCCTTATGCTATTCTTCTTGCGGAAAAAGGTTGTCTATCTCTTGAGGCTGAAGCTCTCTACTTGACCATCACTTATATTAGAAGGGTGAGATCTCTTGATGCTTCTCGACTTCCTCTTCATGCTTTGCGTGCCACACGTTCCAAGGGATAATTTGCAGATGTGATGACTTGGTCTTTGAGGTGGAATGTGACGGAATTGGATTGGGATCTGCAACCTATGGCCCTTCGTGAGCGTATTAAGAAGTAGTTTTTCAACATCATTTGGAGTAGAGTAGACACTAAAATGCAGTTTTATCAACTTCATGTGAATCCTATGCTTATTTATTGTGAGCAAGGGTACTTTGTTGCAGAGATCGTTACATCTTTACGTCATATTATTGCCAAGCATAGAACATGATCTCATAGGCTTGGAATTGAGGAAGGACGTTGGTTGAATATTGATAGGAGTGAACGGATTTGTAGGCTATGTGATGGGAGGAATGTTGAGGATGAAGAGCATGTGTTTATTACTTGTACTAGATATATAGAGATTCGAGGGGCGCATAAAGTTGATGTCGAGAATTCTCTTCTCTGCTTCAACTCGAGCTTTATGATTTAGGTTGTTACATTAGAGATATTATTAGTTACCGTTCTAGTGCTTTGGGCACTAGTTAGGTGTTCTTTTGGTTCTTTACTAGTTTGGAGTTGGATTGTTTGCATTGTGTTTTTTAGACTTTTGAGCCTTTGGGTTGCACGGGCTTGATCTATTTACCATTTAGCTTCCTATCACACCGTACCGCGGTTCCGTTGCGCTCCGACCAAGTTTCCGAACTCAGCTGATGCGTTCCAACCCGCCACTTGTCTGGTGATTTTTAATCTGCGGATTGTTACAGGTGTGAGAACAGCACCGTGTGTGTGACGTTGTTAACTGCCTCCCTTCCATCCAGCTGAGTTATTTCGGTGAATTTTTAACAAAACATGACGTCGGCAACCACTCCCTAGAAAGGCATGAGTCCTAAGGTACATGTTTGTTTCATGCTTCATGATCTTTGTGGACTAAAGTGAGAGGAGAACCGGACGAACCTTCTGTATTCCTCTGCAGATATTACTAATTTCAGGATGTGACACGAAGGCAATAAGTGATACGAAGATGTGACACGAAGGCATGCCCCCCCTGTGGCTCCGCCCCTGATTGTATCACATTCTTTAATGACTTTCATTTCTTTGAAATGAGACAGATGCAGAGGCAACGTGTGAACCGTGCGAATGTCTTGAACCGAATTCGTAAACAATAAGCTGTACAAAGTGACACTATCTTTGAGAGGAGAAGTCGAAGCAGCATGAGACGCCAGGGGCATTTTATTATTCGATGGAATCAATGAAATGATCTCCTTGTTACGCAATGGGTAAGCATGGAGAACTTATATCTCTATCGGGGAGAGTGGACAAGGATCGGGAAACACCATCCGGGACTGCATCTAATATCTATATTACAGAGGTGAATTCTGGATCAGCTGCCAGATACTCGAGAGCATGTGGCGCCAGGTATAAAAGTATATCACAGTACCCATCACCAGGTTTGCTCGGAATACAGATGCACTGACCCTTGCGAGAAATCTGCGCCAACATATTAACCATGCAGAAGAGCGGAGCTCCCTGGCCGAATTCAAGGTCGAAGATGCCGAATCGGATCCAAGAAGTAAGGCCCACTTGGTGGTCGGTTCTATTGATGCTGGTTTTCCAAGGGTTTGCCAGATCCATCTGGTCAATGATGGTGAAGAAAGTTTCCTGCTCAACTGCCTGATGAGCCTTCCGGATCAAGCCGGCTGCATAAGACAGGGGCCTGGCCAGAATCTCGGATGTGGGAACGTTACGGACAAATGCAGGCACGATCACATTTCCAAAGAAGTGGGTCGTGAGGGTGCCGGGCATCCTCTTCCTGCCCTCCACGGCGGTGCTGAAGATCGTTTTGTCCGTTATGCCAAAATTGGCATAGTATCTCGACAGACAGCGCCACAGATGTGCAGAAACACAGTCCATGGTCGACAAGTCACTCACATCTTGCACGGCTTGCTGTTTCAGCTTCGCAAGCTTCTCCCTCTTAAACCTGAAAACCTTCGACGTGAACTTGGTGTTCAGCACTGTCTGAAGCTTGGCCTTCTCTTCTTCAGACATTGGAGGAGGAGCTATGGGCTCGGTTTCCTCCACCTCGTGCCTCGGATTCAACACCGTGCGATCGAGCTGAGGTACGATGGTCGTGTGCCCCGTGGTAGCTATGTCCGACCATGCTCGCAGAATCAGCATTGCTCCCGTCATATCTGCCAACAAGTGATTCCAACTAAAGCCTAAAGCAACTCCACCACAATTGAACCGAGTTACCTGCAAAGTCCACAATGCATCATTATGAACCACAAGGCAAGAGGCAAGTTCCACTCGTGTACTCGGACCTTACTGCAACCTCGAAAGGTTGGAGGAGAACTCACAGATTGCACATTTTCTACTCGAGCATTCATCGTACCTGAATAACGATGCCTGGGCTGCCTGAATCTCCGACAGGATGACACTGGTTGTGCGGCATCAAACCGGCCGCCTCCCATCCTTGGAGCGGAGGGACAGGCGAGAAGGCGTCCTGGTTCACAACATCGTCCATTGCTTCATCCTTGCAAGCTTCTGTGAATGGAACGCCTCGGTCGTCGCAGAGGAACATGCGAGGATGGTTCGGATTCGAGGTTTTGACAATGGCCCCGGCAGCGGGATAAAACGACACCACTGTCTTGGCCAGAGAGTCCTTCAATGTAGCCACGAATTGGTTGTAGACATCGTCCGACTTGTCAACGAGCCTGTACAGGAAGAGAAGTGGCACATAGCGGTCCATGTGCAGATGGTCCAAATAGCTTGGAGCTAACATCGCTGGATGATCCGTTACGGCCGACGGCTTCACCATTGTGGTCTTCACATTGTGATTGAAATAATTGTAGTACTCTTCCAGCGCCATCTCGTCCGTCTTCGTCGAGCCCTCGCTCTTCATGGTCTCGATGCCAATTCAATAGTTGTGCTGACACCGGAACGTCCAACGATCAGAGGCTCCGTCGTTGGCTCGACTGGTGCCGTATCTCCAATTAGAGCGGGGAGTATGTGAACCTATGCCTTTGTTTCCCTTTTAACTACCGTTCTCGAGACCTCTGTTTCCGAAGGGAGAATCCTTTGATGCAGGGGTGGCAGACCAAGACCAACTGTAAGCTAATTCCGTGGGAGACTATATAATTCGTCAAATTTGCTAGGGACTCACCCTCGAAGACTGGAGGGTGGATTCGTTTGACCACTCTCGTGAGGTATCGGACGCGAATACAAAGACCAGGTCATACCAAATCTGTGTATTTCCTTTCCTTTACTGTCAGCTTTTGGTTCGTTTAACCATTGCTGTCCCTGTGCAGAACTTTCTCCCCAGCACGATTAGTCAACAGGAGGCGAGGCTACAAGGTCGACGTCGTCCGGGTTGCGTAGACTGCACGAAGCTCTTCGAGGAAGCGCACTACAATGCTATTATGAGCATAATGTAATGTGCAGAGTCTGCATCTTTGCAGATCACAAAACAAACTATAGAAGGATCCCCATTGCAGGAGGAGCACTGAAGAGGAAACGAAAAGGCATACATATTTCTCTGTATTGGAAATCTTCTGAGACTTCGCTGCAGAAAAAGAACTCACATTCACCTACACAATCATCAACTCTACCTTCTCACTCAAGTGAAAGCTATCAGTAGTGCTTTAAAAATTTGTGATTTTGAATCTGATCGTTATTTTCTTCAATCAGCCTACCCGTTACGATTACACTAAAATATTCTAATTGAAATTCCAGCTAGAAGCGATTCATAAAGGAAAACCACGAATAAAATCCACAGAGGAAACCAAAGAGAAAAATCTGAAAGATGGAGTTAGAAAACGAGGAGGTCGGAGCTGAGTCGATGGCATGAAACCAATTTGAATCCAAGGACGGTATTCCGCATGCAACTTGAAGTGAATATTTTCCGATAGAAATGCACTACGAAGGTAGATACAATGTTCCAACTAAACGATAGCGTTTGCTGCTGAAGACTTACCCGACATATTCTCTACTACTGCTCTCCGGCAGCATTTAGATGAGAGACTACTATTCCATCTGTGAAGTATATAGGTTCGATACATTAGTACATACATGTCCAGGATATTTTACTCAAGCAAGTAAATGAAGAAGAGAGTTTAGAGTTTACATAAATTTAGCACATTTAGAGTGTAAATCTCATGTGCAATTACTGAACACGTTAGAAGAGGAAGGCTTCTGACCACGATCTTGAACCCGTCACCGTTGACATACAGATTTCAGAATGGACTGTAAGTCAAAGACTTAGTGAGTGCTTTAACTAGGCTCGGACCAGAGACCTTTATTGTGTTAGACTCACGTGATACCCCACAACACCATAGAACACTGAGTCATAGAACGGGATCCGGAAGTCTCAAAGTCTTGAAATATGCACATAGCCGTAAGGTAATATAACTCCCTCTTAAGGATCCTTGAAAATATCCGAAAGGACATTCACGCCACACTCGACACGAAATCATCTCTGAACCTACAAAAGAGTGTTAAGTGGGTGCTTTAACTAGGCTCGGACCAGAGACCTCTAATTGTGTTAGGCTCACGTGATACCCCACAACACCATAGAACGGGATCCGGAAGTCTCAAAGTCTGAAAATATGCACATAGCAGTAAGGTAATATAAAGAAGCCGAAATTCCCTCGTAACGTTACCCGTACGAACTCCCATTCAAGGATCGTTGAAAATTTCTGGGAAGTCATTCACGCCACACTTGAAACGACAGCATCTCTCAACCTATAAAAGAGGGAAGTGGCCCATACAGGTCTCGAACCTGTGACCTTGGCGTTATTAGCACGACGCTCTAACCAACTGAGCTAATGGGCCCGGTGCTACATTGAGATTTGAAAAACTATATAAAATAAAAATATTTGAAAAAACCAAGTTTCCTGCATGAAAACCGCGGAGTGGTAGCCATGATCTTCGAGTTAATCATGGCTACTATTCATAGAATCTCATTAGTATTCTCGATGTTTGAAATTTCTTTCGTCAGGAGGGAGAATAAATCCAGCGCTCAAGTGACTACGAAAGCTCTTTAGACAAAGGAATATTGCACTTAGAATTTTGCGCGAGAATGTTCGATTTCAGAGTTCATACAGAGGATAACTTAGATTCCATTGAACGTAGACAAAAGTGGAACCTTCAAACTTGTTGAATCATAGACAATATGCGTGAAAACCATTCCAAGAATTCCAAGTTTATGGGTGTGGAGAGGTCTCCTCTTCTGATGTTCCAGGTAGTTATTATATGCAGGATTTTTTATCTAGAAAGTTTGATATCTTATTTTCAGTTATATTACATATTTACCATTTTGATGCTTTTGGTGGCCTAGAATATCCTAGGCCCTTGTTTCTTGATCCCTTTTTCTGTTTCCCATTCACTACTTTTCCAGATATAACCAGAGGTGACTTGACGAAACTGAGATCCAACATGATGCAACGGAAATGACCAAAATTCTACCAAGTTTAGAAAATGGGAAAGAGTATATAAAACCTCCAAAACGCTTGAGTGCGTTTTACCACCGGCGGAATAAGGGCAGTGAGACAGACGTTCACTAAGCGAGCGAGCCTCACTCGACGCGAACCCGAGGCTGAGCGTTCGCCGAACATATACTTTTCCTTTGGCGCTTGATTAGAATAAGAAACCCGGCATACTGCAGCTTGGCTCACGACTAAGGTTGGAGGCACAGCAAAAAATTTCGAGGCATGCCCATGCCCCGTTTCAAAGCCAAAAGGCATGCCCGTGCCCCCAGGCATGCCCGTATTACAATACGTATATTTAATGTATCAGAAAATATACTTCTATGAAAATAAAGCACTCTTAGAAGGAAAAACAATCAACAAGCCGGAGGACCTGTCTACATCCCACTTACCGACACGAAAACGGCATTGCATATACTTGGCAATCCTTCAGTTCCAAGAGCAGTTTCAGTACCATGCAGCCCCAACAACAAGCATAATTTCCCATTTATTTTTTGATTGATCCCACCGTCTATAACTCTGGAAAATACATCTTAATTTTTTCGTACATACGGGCATGCCACGTATGGAAATGCGAATGAGGCAGAACTTAGGGTTTAGGGGGCATGCCCCCTGCCCTCGCCCGCGCGCATGCCTTTTGAGTTGTGCCTCCAACACTACTCACGATATGCGCGACCTACCCTCTCCCCTCCCTCTCAGACACCTTCCGATGTACCGTTTGTCCCGTTAAGATGCTTGACGTGAGAAGTCGAAACAAATCCCGGATTTCGGACTGCAATAAACCCAAAGGACCAGCAAAGTGACATCAAGATCAAAAGGTGGGGCGAGAGAGGCTCGAGCTTGACGTGAGAAGTCGAAACAAATCCCGGATTTCGGACTGCAATAAACCCAAAGGACCAGCAAAGTGACATCAAGATCAAAAGGTGGGGCGAGAGAGGCTCGAACTCTCGACCTCCGGATTACTCTCGGCTATGAGACCGACGCGCTAACCAACTGCGCCACCGCCCCGCACGTCCTTCAAAAAGTTTTAGTTTATTTTATATTTATTTTGACAAAAACCTTGAAGGTTTTACCATTGAAGTGTTTCATTAAAATAGCTTCAAATGTAGATCCGCAAATAATGAATAAAATTTACTTAGGAAATTTGAAAAAAAATATAATATTAAATAAGAAGCTAAAACCAATCCAACTCTCGGAGCTATACTCTTCGGTCATTTTCCGAAATGCATCGCTTTTTAAATCTGCCGTGCTCATAAGTGAAGTAAATATATGAATAAATAATTATGGCCGGAAGCATTTCTCACCTTGAGATAGTTGTTGTAGTGTTCTCGCGGAAGGTTGGATTTGGATTTGTTTCATGCTCACTGCGCGGGCCTTAAAAGCCAACCTAGCGCAGATGACAGCGAAATCAGGTCATCACTCATATACCAAGAGAAGATGGGCAAGCACATGGAACCGTGTAAAAGGAACTCTCTCAGCTTGAAGCGCGCAAGAAAAGATATACCTAGTGCACCGACAAACACCATATGCAATTCAGTGAGGTCGGATTGTGTGTTGGAGAGTTCAGCTAAACTTTTAGCCGATCCGACCATTTATTCAAGGATGTTCGGATTGGTTAAATAGGAAAATCGGAGCTAGCAAGACATTTTTCACAGCTTTTTGCGCAGGAAATACCTGCGAATGTCGGCAACAATGTACTCCCTCCCATCTGCATGAATACATATTTTCTCCAACAATCATACGTATGTGTCTTCCTCAAGTTCTTCTAAACGTCGTAAGTAGGATCTGTCACCATGCCTCTTATGAGGCCCGAATTTGTGTAGTGCGCCTTAAACCACTTGGCCTTCCTGGCTCAGTGTGCTTTAGCAGGAATTAACAATATATAATTTAGTTATTTATTAATTATTATATGCGCGTGGGTAGTATATCACAACACTTGAGAAACCTGGTGCTTCAGATCACCAATTTAAACGCATATCTGTAGTTTTTATACCATACGAAATTATATGGGAGGTGCACCTGAGGAGAGCAGGCTGTTCAATCTTTCCTTCGTGAGTAGGACTTTCATTGCACCAAAAAGCACCGGAGATAACAACTTAAACTCACAGTTATGAAAGGAGACTTTGCTTCAGTTCAAATTGCCATGGATGTATATAATACACTAGCTTAAGTCCGCATCCCACCTAAGTTTGCATTTTTAATTTGCTTTTAACTTCATGTTAGAAATTCGATACATATTTAAATACACAGGTGATATAGAACTCATTGACATGATTCAACCTTATTTCCAGTCCTCAGTTTCAGCAGTTTAATTGAAACATTCTGAACACGTCTTATGTATGCTCAGAAGGTTTTACTTACCTCGGAAGTCTTGGAGGACGAATACATCCGAGCCTGAATGTCTTTTATAGTGCACACTTTCAAAGCTGCATCCCATGACCTCAAACTGACAGAATGGCAGTAATCAACATGCGGGTGACAGTTCTGTTGCTAGAAGTTGCAAACTACGGAGCAGCTGTTTCCAGTATTTATCTCTTGCATGTAGATTTATAGGGACGTCTGATTTTATTGATTGAGATATTACTCCATGGCGGCCCAGAAACGAACAAAACAGGGAAGAAATAAGTAATGTAGGAAAGTTTAAGCTGGTTTTATATTTCGCGTAATCAATAATTTGCCAAAGTTGATAGGTTAACCACCTGAATTCAAGACAGGCATATTCAAAGGGAAGAGAGCAGAATCGAGCTTAAGGATCTCAACAATATTCTTTATGGAAGCTCTTGAAGGATTTTGAATTATGTTTCAGTTTCAGT